TGAGATAACAAAATGTTTCGGAGCCAGCAATACTGTCAGTAGCTCTAGAAAATGTATGTGCTCTTCCCTCAGACCAAACTCCTCTCACTGTTCTGCCTTCGAACACAGCTCCCCAGCCTGTGAGGGACACGTCTGTCATCACCACTTTCCTTGAAACGACCGGACACAGAGGGTATCCTGTCCTGAAATGATGGAGGTCTCCAGTAGCAGAGAGCGTTCATGCATTCTGGTGAGATGTGCACTTTGTGGCTGAGGCAGCTCTTGGAGCGGATGCCCTGTGACGCCGCCCAGTTTTGAAATTCCCTCATTCGCAGTAGTCCCAGGGGGACCACTGCTAGTGTTGAGGCCATCAACCCCAGTAACCGGAGGCATAATCTGAGAGAGACTGTTTTCCCTCTTTGAAAAAGGGAGATGCAGCGGCGAAATGCCTCAATGCGCTCCTCTGACAGAAATGCTCAAAACTCCACTGAATTCAATCTGAGACCCAGGTAGACTATTTCCTGTGAAGGGGTCAGACAGCTCTTTGTCTGGTTTATCTTGAAACCTAGTCTCTCCAGATGAGTCACCAGTGTATTTGTATTGACCACTGCTTGGTGTGGAGACGGTGCACACACGAGCAGGTCGTCTAGATAAGACAAGACTCTGACTCCCATATTCCTTAACGGAGTCAGAGCTCCTCTACACATTTGGTAAAAATTCCTGAAGCTAAGGAGAGGCCAAAGGGAATTTTCGCATACTCGTATGCTGTATTTTTATATGTGAGATTTTTCCTGTGGCGCAGGAAAGATATCTATGTGAAAATATGTGTCCTGGAGATCTACTGAGGTGAACCAGTCTCCCTGACGAATATTTTGACAATGTTTTGCGTGAAAGCATTTTGAACTTGTACTTTCCCATCTTCGCTCACTAGCGGTGTTGCGGCACCCTCTAGTGGTGAAGGGAGGGAAATTTGTTCCAGTAAAGGAGTTATATTCATCTTTGTTTGGACTAAATTTTTGTGATTAATTAATTTTTTAATTCCACTCTGCGCCCTTAGCCCTTGGCCTGGATGCGACAGAGAACCTTTTAATTGTGTTGGGATGTTTGTTACCTCTTGGTTCTCCTCCCTCGGAACAAATGCCAATGGGTAGAGGGGGAGACACTGTTTCGGGGGGCACCTGGGGAACATGGGCCACACGTCTGCATACATTTGACACCGAACGGTCTGCAGGAACGATTCATGTAGTCGAATCCCTTCTCCTTTTCCCCGCGGGAGGGAGAAGTGGAACGTTCTGAAGGGATGAGACAGAGAAACTCTGAGTGCTGTCTCCAATCCCTTCCTGAAACTGAACCGATGTCTCAGGTAGCCCGCCGCTTCTTGTTACCCTGGGGGTTGGTTGAAAGATGCTTCGCTGCTGCGGCTGCATACGACGGTTTTGGTTTCACAAACCCGGGTTTTGTCAGCGCGAATGCACTTCCCGGTTGTTGCGGCGGGGTGGGGTGGGAAGGCTGATTATCAGACTGACCTACTTTCCCCGAGGGTCTGAAACTTGGCCGGCTCGGATAATAAGGCCGAGCCACCGGCTTTCTGGGGAGACAAACCTTGAATGCCTCCCCTTCCCTCTTCCGTTGATCGCATTGTTGCTGCATCGCTGTAACAGTCGCATCAAACTTAGCTTTTGGATCGATGGGGGCATCCAAAAACTCCACTTTCTCTTTCTTCGAGAGTCCGGACAAGCTCAGCCACAGCGATCTCTCTCCCTCAACTGCCATGCCCATGCTGGGTCCGCAACTTTGCACGGCTCCACGAGATGTACGCAGGTTTAAATCTGTGATGACACATATCTCCTCCCAGAGTGCAGGTTTGGGAGATCCGCAGTCCAGTTGATAACACATTTCCTCAAAAAGCTTGGCTTGATAGGCCATGAGGAGAGATGTCGCGATCAAAGCGCGAACCGTCAGCACGGAGGATTTGTAAATCTTCTGGAAAACAAAGGGCGGCCGGTATAAATTGTCTCGCTGGTGGGAGATGTGACAGGAGCCTTTTCCCATCGTAGAGGTCTCTATCAGCCCCTTTCCCTGTCGGTTGGGATGGCCAATCGACGGACAGCTTAGCCACGGCCCTACGACAGACCTCCAGCAGATCTGTGTCCACCTGCACAGGGGAGGGTGAGCTCACATCCTGCACGTTCGGCGGATGGGACTGATTTGGAGGGAGAATGGCATCCTCGTTGTCATCATCCTAGTCTTCGAGGATGGTCGACAGTACCTCGTCATCATCGTCTTCCTCTCCCGGTAAAGGATCTTCAAACAGCGGGGGAAGAACTGGTGACACACTATCCATCATATCTCCCCACGAGCTTGAGGTCTGTGGACACTCCATGGGTTTCCTCTCTGGGTTGAGCAGAGAGGCATGGGTCCAACTTTGCTGTGGCTGCCACTCGGTTCCTTTTTTCGGGTTTTATTCGAGAAAGTCACACAGTGAGGGCAGCCCTCAGGGTTGGATAGTGCTGCCTGAGTGTGTTTAGCACCCAGGCATGAGATGCAGAGACCGTGAGAATCCTTGGTCGAAATCCACGCTCCACAAGCACAAGGATGAGGAGGACGGCTGTTCCCTCTGTGGCTTTCTGGCTCTTTCGAAGGTGGCCATGACAGCGACTGCACTCTCTTCATACGGTAAGTCCACCACAATGTAAAATCTTGTACGGAGCTGTGCTGAGAGTAGTGAGCGCTCTCTTTTTTTGAGAACTTAAGAGCTGAAAAACTCACCTTAACGTGTTAGTAACCCAACTTTAAGTGCGGTCACTCAACGAAACTTTAAGGAAAAAATTACATTCGGGGCGTTACCTTGCGTCTTCATCAGTAAACGGTTGAGCAATAATTCCAAAAGTCTGCTGAGGACAGCTTCCGAAAACCTTCCATGGGGAAGAGCACAAGAATGACGAGACAGCAGGTAGCTGCAGTTTAAATACAGGGAGGCGGGACTTCCTGATCGCTGCAGCGATTGGTCTGCCATGGTTGGCAGACGTAGTGTCATTGGTGCTTCCGCAATCGGTCACGCCTTGGGTGTATCCCATAGTGAGATACTGAACAAACTATTTAGACCGCTAAATTCATATGGATTGCTTTTACAATGCCTTTACAAATTTGTTGAATCTCAAAGTGTTGGTTGCGTGGATTTTCAAATAGAGGGACCGAAATCTCTTAGGTTTCATTTCATCTTCATTTGTGTTTCGAAGATTAACAAAAGTCTTTTGGCATTGGAAAGACATGAGGGTAAATAAATGATTACATAATTTTTGCACAAACTAACCCTTTAAACTTCGCCGTGTGAAAGCGAACCACACCAAGAATAAAAAGCAACATTGTAATAATTTTAATCCCATTTTCAGAACAAAGCAATCAATCTACAGGTGTGAAAACACTCTTAATAATATAATTCCAGTAATAATATGAGATATAAGATAATTCCAGTCTGTTCACCAAACAAAGCAATTTTATTGCTTTAGAAGATTACAAAAATATAGCACACTATTTGTATGGACTACTTTTATAGCTTTTGGAGCTTGACAGTATAAATCCTCACCCACTTTCATTATACGGAAAAAGTAGCATTTTATCTATTGTATTAAATGGAAAAATGGATTTAGAACAACATGAGGGTGAATTAATAGCAGAATTTTCATTAATTATCTTTAAATAAATGTCCTTGTTCTGTTATATGGGATAAGAGCAATTATCTTTAGCAGCTGTGATTGTTAATAGTCAGCTGCTTGCACAGACCAATGGATGATTGAATGAGAGGCAGACAGCTATTTCACAGGTGCTGGGCTTAGACATCAGAATGCATGACACCTGGTGATGACATTTGGCTGTTGGATACTGGATTACATTTTTTTTTTGTTTAATTATATATATATATATATATACACACACACACACACACACACACACACACACACACACATACACATAACACACATGAATTCTATATTAATGTAATAAGCTGCAACAAAACAAGGAAGAACTGTATGTTGCTTGGCAACCTTAAACAACCTGCAGATAAGCTAATGAACTACATTATGGATTCCCAACAAGGGGTATACACGTTCTCTCAGGTGGCACTTAAGCAGATTCCAGGGGGTAAAAAAAAAGAAGAAAAGAAAAAGAAGAAAAATAAATTGCGATTTTAAAAATATAATCATTTAATTGCATTGCTTTTTTGGTAGGAAAACCTTAACACGTTTAATTTGTTTTTTTTAAGGAAATTAAGTATAATATAAGTTTTAAGGAACACATTGTGGTTTGGTTTTGATGAAGGGATATTTGAACCTTAGTGATGGAGTTTGCAGGGACAACATGACAAAAAAATGTCAGGATAAACAAAACTATATTACTGTGTTTATTATTAATAATACATTTATAGAACACTAGTGTTTTTATCATAATGTTGGTGCTGCCATTTTAGACCCTTAATAAGCCACTCTCCACGACCAACAATCACGTTAATGCACCGTCACTTGAGGTTTATTACTTTAATTGTTCTTAATCAGGCCCACACTCAATCTGTGTGTGTAGAACTCCACATTAATCTCAGCAGATTTCAGAACCTGCACTGGGACTGTGGAGAAAAAAAAAATCAGTAGAATCCCATCTGGGCCTCCTGTAGTAAGTGAAGGTCAGGAAGTTTCTCTACTTGGCATATCTCAAAGCGCTGAGAGATACCAAAAGCACCCTGATGTATTCTTCTGTCACTGCTGTCTTTACATGATAAAGATCTCTGCTTTAGTCTATCAACATAAGACACGGCCTTTATAGTGTGCTTCATAATCCTCTTAACATTTTACTCATTTCCCTCGGGCTGCTTTCATCCAGGTCCTCTCACACACTGACCTGTCACATTTATCTCACACACCATTAACGTTCACTCCAGATAAAAGCAGCTCATAATTCACACCATTACATCTCATGAACGGTGCTGGCGAACAGGGTCAGCTGTGATTGATTGGGGGGGTACTTACCTTAATATTGACGCAGAAGGGGTGGTAGCACTGGCCGCACTGGGAGCAGGCTAACAATCTGCCCTCAGCACCCTGACCAAAGCTTCCACACACCACACACATGTCCTGAAGACACAAGAGAGAGCAGACATCCACCCGTGAAGTTAATTCTCATACCCATGCTAATATAAAGTTAATCTAAGTCTCACATTTTTAAGAGCAGGATCATGTGTCTGATGAAGTGTTTTCACTTTTGACTTTGAACTCATATACTTACTTGTTTAAGTGTGAAAGAGTCAGAGCTGGAGAACAGGACTACAGTGCTGTGCATGGAGTTCTCCTCCTCTTCTTTAACCACATATGGAGAATCCATTAAGCTCACCTGTAACAGAGCACATGACATCGGTTTACATTTGCTCAGATCACATCCAGCTGTTACTAGCATATTACTATACTGTTTGTCTAATGACATCATAGTTGGTTCTGGAAATTTTTCAATGTAATCATGCAACTGAAAATGTTAGATGTGGATCAAAAAAAAATTGCTGTTAGTTTTTAACCATTGCATACAATGGGCCCAGCTTGTCTTAAAGGGAAAATTCTGCCATCAATTACTTAACTATCATCAATTACAAAACCATAATACTTTTGTTCATCTTCAAAATATATTAAAAAAAAATTCGAAACTTGAGATTACTTTTCACACAATGACAAACGTACATAGAGCACTTCAAATATGGTAAATGGAAGTTAAAACATACTTGCTTGAAATCTAATTGCTTCTTGTAGGAGCTCATACATGCTTGCATAACAAGCAAGAACAAACATCACTAGTTCTCGTGCATCAAGCAAGTACGGTTAAGATGCAATTGTATTACTTTTACAATGTCTTTATTAACAATTTGAAGCTTTAAAGATTTGGTGAAAATGAGAGAAACATCTCTCAGGTTTAAACAGAAATATCTTTGTGTTTTGAAGATGAATAAAAGTGTTATGGGTTTGGAACAACAAGAGGGTGAGAAATTTATGACAATTTTAATTTCTGGGTGAACTATTCCTTTAAGCTCGCAATGCACCGTAAAAATAGGCTTTGCTTGCAGTGTTGGTTCTGCAATGCAGGGTCATGTTGCTTACATGTACAATGTGAATGTTGTATTTATATGATATTATTATTCATTATGTGTTAATATCATCTAGATGAAAAAATGCAGAATGTATTCAACTTATAGATTAGGGGAAAAGTAACGCTGCTTTGTTTAGCTGGTGTAATGGGCTTTATAGGTATGGATAGTTTAAATTTAACACTTGTCTTAGTGAAAATTCACACTTAGTGCGAACAGGCCTTTACATGACAATTTACTGTGGCATTGGACTGTAATGAGACTGGCTGACTAAGTTAAGACAACATCTTCATTGTGTGTGTAGACTACAGGATGGCTGCTGAGTACAAAATGGCCTATTTTATCATATTGGCAGCCAAGAACATGCTGGATCAATCTCCCCCATCACAAGTCGTTTGTGTTGGGGGAAATGTCAGCATTTGCTATTTTGAAAAGGCCATTTGGGCCGGGAACTGCTGCTGAAGCTCTGCTGAGCGTGAGTGGAGTTCTCAGGCTTTAATGTGAACATTAAGCACATCTGAGCGCTGTTTTATTTATGCTTGTAGAGGTGGGGGCTTCATACCCCAGGAGTCACCACAGGGCTGCTCTCCGTCTTTAGCCTGGAGCGTCCCCTGCCACCTCTCCCAGACAGGTTAGCTCCCCTGGGTCGCCGCCTTCCAGCAAATCCAGATCCACGACCCTAGCAGACAGAAATAGAGAGAAAGGATATTATTTAATTTCTCTTATGGCACACTTTGGGAAAATTGAGTGTGAACGTATAGTACTAATGGGCAAATACTCATAGCCAACAGGGCGATACAGACGATATATCAACTATTGGTTTGTTGGTGATATAAAATAAACCAACATTGAAATATCACAATGACTTTAATGTGCTTCATATCTGACCATTAAGTTTCCTACAGACCGTGACAGTAGGCCAGTTTTGTGTCTGCTCATTGTATTATAATGGAATCGCTGATTTAAACCTCACTAAAAATGTTAAAAGAGTTGGTCAGTTTGATTTACTTGTACAAATTAGCTTTTGTTGTTGTTGTTGTTGTTTTTGTATCATCACTCAGAAATGTTCACTGAAGAAAAACAAAACAAAAAACCTCACACTTCCTCACACTCAAGTTTAAAAAAAATTTTGCTAAAGCATTTAATTTTATTGTTCAATTATTTAAGTCATCTGTGGATTATTTTCAACTAGAGTTTTACTCCCTAAATCAAGATAATAAAATTATTAACAGCATACAAAAAAAAAACAGTTACTCTTTAACATTAAATAACTTTTTGCCTTTTTATTACATTTTACAAATAACAAAAAAGAAAAGAAAAAAAGTTTTCATTCATTGCACTAAAAGTTGCTATTTCGCCCAGCTCACATAGAAATCCACACATATTATTCTCTAGTAGCAAATGGTACTATTGCTTGACTGATTTTATTGAATTCACTGTTTAGGAGAAATAATTACCTGAATCCACCAATAACCTAGCTTGACATGGTGGAACACTTTCTGGAAGGCACCAAACCCGTTGCATCTGTGTTTGTGATATAAACTCATCCATCCATCCCAAGACCTGACCCTCTGAGGTTCAGCCCAACTCCCTGAACACTACACTGACTTACAGATCACATTTCAGGCCAGGCTTCTGCCAACTCGCCCTGCTTCTGAAGGTGTCACATTGCGTTTGCATCGAGGCTGAAGCTCTGGCCCAATTCCCACTTCCTCCCAGGTAATTACCTCACTGTAGCCAAGCAGCACTACTCAGACAGGAGACGTCAACTTCATTTAGAGAGATTGCCTAAGGAAGCCTGGCGCACTCTGTCGTCTTTACAGTCTGAGTCTAATTTGTGCAGAAATGAATTATGGAGAGGGAAAAAATAGACTAGGGTTAAGGAAGGCACTCCTCTAAATCTGCTCGAGTGCAGCCACAGAGAAGAACAGCAATTCTGATGAGATACTGCAGCAATGGGAAGGATGCAATTCTGGTGTCTCATGCACATGCATTTGTATATATGTGCAGGGTTTGTTATATGAACATGCCATCATATGACATATTCATTAGATTAATATACAATGTGAACATGGAAATGTACAATGGATAACAACATAAAACAGTAAATCAAAGCATTAACCTTTGTAATGTGATGCATTTCAGAGTTAAACTGATTATTACTGACAATTCGTTAATGAGGGATGAGGCTTGTATTTGTTTACCAGGACTTCAGTGAATTATGAGGGGACTGGTTACTGGATAAACCTGGTTGCATGGCCTTGTTTATGTCAGCATATGATTATGACAATATGAAAACTTTTTTTTTTTTTTAGAGTAACAGGCACTGATGAATCATGACCAGAGACATTTATAGTTGCACATTATTACAACCCTCTCTTTCAATGCATCCCTGATTCCAAATATCAGTAACCTTTTTTAACATGTAATATGGATTAGATAAGAGCCTTTGGGGTAGTGCGTTGCGTCTCATTGTTTTTTTTAAGAATCTCACACCATGAGCATTATGTTTTTAAGACAGTGTGATAGGCTAAAAATAGTCAAAACAAAAATACATAAAAATGTCCGAAGCATGACACATTATATCATGAACAAGTTGGATATCATAATATCAAGGCCTAAATTCAACACTAGTAACAAACATACGTTTTTGAACAACCACAGAGTCATTTTTCACCCATAATTCCTGTACCATTTTGGAGTTTACTTTCTAGACTAAACCAGCTGACGCTTTATGATCCACACCCACCTTAAAAGCTCAGTCCCCTGCAGAGCCCAAACCCTTCAACACCCACCCCTCATTTACCAATCTCATGGTCCAGATGGGCAGCCCGTGCATCAGCCTGGTCTTAGGGCTGTCCCAGGCATCCGAGCGCTCTGGAGACCAGGAGGGCGAGCTCATTGCGCTACGGTTACTCCATGCACCCTGAGGTAAAGCGGCGGAGAAGAGACGGAGGGGGAGGGTATATTGGTGATGAGGGGAAGATGAGGGGTGACAAAATGCAGTAACATAAATGTGAAGCCAGCAACAAGAACACAGCATGTCAAATGAATGCAATACGTCTACACAAATGCATCATATTATCAAGCCAATACAGTGAAATATTAAGTTTGGGACAAATTCCTGAAACATGACGGAATTATATTTTGTGTCTTAAGAAAAGCAATTGTGTATATTTGCTTTGAGCAAGTTTCAATTTGTAGGGAAGTCTGCTAAATTCCCTTACAACATGAGGATCTGCGTTATAAAGCATCATTATGCCTCCATGGAAACAACCTTGTTTATTTGTTTGTACTAAACAAGCGTGATTGTGTCAGCATGACAACAAGCAGCTCTTTGAGATAAACAGAGAATTTCAAAAAGCACAAAGCATCATGGGGAGCATTTAGTCTGTTTAACGAGCTAATGAGGGTTAGTCAGTGTAATTACAATGCATAACACAATCACCGCAAGGCCTTTTTTGTTTTACAAAATGAAAATTATTTCTAAATTATAAATAATAAATACCAGCCGCGGGTTGGTAGCCTTTTTTTCCTGTCATGTATCGTTTTGTCCCAAACCACTACTTTAAATGCATGTCTGAGATCCAATACAACTTCATGTCTCTGGAAAACAGTGTCATATGCTGTTGATTACCTGACACAATAATATTGTCCCATAATATTGCAAAGATAAAAAAATTGCCTTAAAAAAACTAGGCAACGAATACACGTTTTTCCATAATTTCTGCTTTAACATTATTTTCTGTGGTAATCAACAAATTCCTGATGTAGACAGAGCATAACTTGCACTGAACTCAGAACATTGCTTCCTAATAAAACAAAAGTACTTAATGAAACAAACGACCATTCCATAGGCACAAGACCCAAAAATTGTTATAACAGATTAAAAAGAAAGAAAAAGAAAGAAAGAAAGAAAGAAAGAAAGAAAGAAAAGAATAGCTCTCCTGAAACATAAAAGTATGAGTGGAGGGAGGCAACTGAGAAACAAACAAATATTATCATGCCAACATGCCTGTGAATAAAGACATCAAAACAAACAAATAATAAAATCTCACTAAGTATTGACAATAAGAAAAAATCATGGTGTTGATATTGGTGATGTCTTAAATTGCTTATTGACAGCCATGCAATGTTAGTTCGGTAAGAGTAGGCTGAGGAAGAAGTATGTCTTCATACTGAATTTCCAGCCCCGAGTCTTTTCAAAATAAACAAATATAGTACAAATGTAAAATAAATGGAGAGGTGAACACTTTTAGCTTATATGGTAGGCGCCCAAGAGACACTTTACCAAGACATATGCGGTAATATGAAATCTTTTTCAGCCAAGAGATACATATTTCCAAATGAAAACTCAAGCTAATCCCTATAGGACTCTGAAACTTCTACAAAATTCAGAGCGTAAGGCATGCCTGATCGTCTCTGAAGAGAATCAGCAGGAGTTACTTCAAGAAAACGATGAAACGCTAGAAGCTCATTTGCACAACAAAACGAAATCTCTTTCTCTCTCATACGCACACACAGAATAACACAGGGGCGTGCACATACTCATGAACGAACTTTTACACACCAAACCGGAAATCTCAGTTGGAGCCAATGACAGCTGCCCACCCTTCAAATTACACTGTGCCCAGATGGCGCATACCCCAGAGAGAAAATCGACCAGAGCCATAGAAACTAGCATATATAGACACATATACACTCTTCTAGCCATTTGATTCTACAAAAATAAAGTATATCCAAACACAACTGCTAAGCATGTTTTGTTAAACTCTCAAAGTGTTTATAGCAAGCTATTTGAAAATCGACATATCCCATTTAAATTTAACAGAAAGCACTTTGTCGCAAGCTAATTGTTTGGTATCCCACACATAAACTATTCCTAATACCTGGCAGATATCATGGAATCAGAGGTCCTGACATATTATATTAGACTGTTAAGAACCTATACTGTAAAGCTCAAAAAGAGAATCAGGTTTTAGCCAATCAGTAACGCTCTCTCTCTGTGAAACATTTTGTTAAAGGTGCAATAGGTGATTGTCTTCAGAAACATTTTTTGTTATGCTGGTTGAAAGTCTCTTCACATCATGATAGCAATCATTAAGTTAAGTGGTCTAAATTTATTTATCTGTATTTATATATTCTGTGGAAGGCGTAGGACCAAGAAATGTTCGTCCAATCAAAATGCTTGGTCCGAGCATTTAAAATTGGCTTTCCTACCTGCCTATCAACGTATGTATTAGCATACCTCTGCGCACCCTGTTCGCGCAGACAGGATACGTCATCAGCGAGTTCACGCACGCTGTGCAGACAGAGCGAGAATGGCAGACAAACATCAACAACCCGATCTTCCTTCCTGGTATTGTAGTACTTTTAAAGTTTTCTCACTGGTGAATGACACATAATGTAGCCCAGCGGTTCCAAATTCCTGTCCTTGCGCCCCCCAGCTCTGCATATTTTGCATGTCTCGCTTAGTTAACACACCCGATTCAGATAACCAACTCGTTAGCAACCTATGATGAAAATTACAGGCCTCTCTCATCTTTTTAAGTGGGAGAACTTGCACAATTGGTGGCTGACTAAATACTTTTTTGCCCCACTGTACGTGCATTAATGGTGTTCCGATCGATATGATCCCTACACAGTGTTCATTGCTCCCTACTCTCTGAGTCTGGGAAATCCTTTGAAGTTTACTTCACTCACACACTCACACGTCTTCACATCCAGTGCGAGGACTGGAATTGGGAACCGCTGATGTAGCCTACTGTAGTAATGTTGTCTCTGCTGGTATTCTGGTCTGTGAGCGACAAGCGTATATGCGTTCAGGGGGCGTGGCTTTGGACGGCGATTGAAGGGAGGGTGGGACGTTCGCTTTCAGTGCTATCAGGCTAAAGTTAGCATTTCCCAAGATCTCCTACTGCACCTTTAAGTTTTGCTGACATTGAGTTTACTGGCATGCTTTTGGAGAGCTGTGTTTTAAAGACAGGATGTGTAGTGTAGGTTAGCAAAATTATAAAGTTAGAAAAACAGCTGTAATTGCTTACAGCACCTTTAAAGGGATAGTTCACCTAAAAATACAAATTTGGTAATTTACGCACCATCATGCTGTTGACTTTCGCTCATCTTTCGGAAACACACGATATAAAATAAGATATTTTTAATATCCACATGAATCAAGTGGTTCAATCCAAATTTTTTTGTAAGAGATGCAATCTATTTCTATTTAAAAAAACAGATTTAATTTAGGCTTTCATTAAAGGGGTCATATGATGCTGCTAAGAAGAACATTATTTTGTGTAATGAAATGTGTTTATGCGGTTTAAGGTAAAAAAAAACACATTATTTTCCACAATGTACATTATTGTTTCTTCTCTATGCCTCGCCTTTCTGAAACGCGTCGATTTTTACAAAGCTCATCGTTCTGAAAAGCGAGGTGTGCTCTGATTGGCCAGCTATCCTGTGTGTTGTGATTGGCTGAATACCTCAAGCGTGTGACGGAAATGTTACGCCCCTTACCATATTGTGTTTCCATGTGTCCCGGCGCGACGAGACAAAACCAATAAAACCCATTACAAACGAAGCATTTGTTGCATCCAGTGGGGACATAATTACTGATTAGAATGACTTATGCTGTGTTTTTATGCTTTGCGTTGCGTATTGCACCGCGTAAACATAAAACCATGTCTGCATTTGTGATCGGAGAAATGATAAACAACAAGCGCTACTCTACACTGCTCAAACTCGCGTTTGAATCATCAGTGGCAAATCCTTTAAATATAAAAAACGGTACTTACAGGCTGTGGGTCAGAAGCGCCAGACTGTCCTTGCAAAGTTGGAACTGCCCCACTTTATAGAAACATTATGTCCTCTTTTGGAAGGCCAAACAAAGTAGTACGCTTTCACAACAAAATACACAGCAGCTTGAGTGAGCGGCGCCCGGCGGATTCGACGAAGGAGGCTTTCGGAAACTACACGTGACGACCCCGGGCTGGACTCCGCTTCATCCAAGGTGAAAGTCGATCTGGCGATCCACAGTGCGAAGTTGATGTATTTCCTCAGCGACCAGCACGGATTAGCTCCAGGCACGATGAAGCGGATATCGTCCTCTTTTGGAAGGCCAAACAAAGTAGTTTCGCTTTCACAACGAAACACACAGCATCTCCACGACATGGCGGCGGCAACAATACTACAGAGAATAAAAGTTAAGCCTTCTTTCTTTGCGTGAACATTTGCGCGGCGTTATGCAAATCTTCCCACACAGTGACGTAGGCATGTGGGGGCGTGTTTAAACGAGGCGTTTTAGGAGGGCGTGGACAAGTCTTAACTTTTATAAAGAATACCTCTTTGGATTTGAGACTTTAGTCTTTGCAACTTTACAGATCTTCTTTATGCACCAAGAGCTTGTAACACTCCAAAGAGAAAGGAAAAATTGAAATCGCATCATATGCCCCCTTTAACACATATACACTGAACAACAAATACAGAGTTCAAACATGGTAAACTCGAAAGCTCAAACTTGCAAGATACGTGAAAAACAAACTAGGGGTGCTCCGATCATGATTTTTGAGGCCGATCACCGATCCCCGATCACAGAAAGCAGTATCTACCGATACCGATCACTGATACCGATCTTTTTAGAGCCTTCTTTTTATAATTTATAACTATTTATAGTGATACTTCAATCAGGATTTTTAGACATTTATTCAGGGCCTGAATTTCATTTTTGAAAATGGGGGAAATTCCCCTCTTAGGTGACTCTTGTGAGAGGGGAAGCAGCTTTCACACAGGAGTCCGCTACTGATCCGTGGCTGTTTACCACAAACACAACATTTATTCCAACATTATAATCATTCCATTATTTTGATTTCAAATCCAAACATTTTCTTTCTCAGATGTTTACATTTAGATAAGACAAAACCGACTGTG